CCTACATTCATAAATATTGTCAGTATATACACATAGACATATTTACACACTCAGTGACCAGTCAGAACCCCCCGGATCAGAACACCTGTCTGTGAGCAGGTGTGAACATGCGTGTATATACAAGATTTTGCCAAAGGAATATTTAATAGTGACTGTGGAGGATCGGAGACCCAATATATTGTAATATAATGTCTTTCTTATTGTATCGCAATATATCGTATCATGACCCCTGTGACGTATCATTTCGGCAAATTCTTACCAATACACAGTCCTTATTTCATCTCATACATTTACTTTGGTGCTTTTAAAATAATTAGATTTGGTTTCTCAAGGTTGTATTTTTGGGATCTTTTCCTTCCTACTGGGAAAAGTCCTTTTAGAATTAGCTGAAGTTTAGTCGAAATGTTTCATCTTCACAGTGTTGGAGTGTCCTTTAGCAGGAATGTTGTCATTCTATATAAACTTAAAACACTTCTGTGTCACTCCAATGAAATGTGTTTTATTCGGGTCAAACTTTTAGGATTTTCTGAAGTGATAAGAAAACAAAAAAAACTTGCCAAAATGATTTGATGAGACGAAAAGATCAATTCACAACAACAACAAAAAAGCTCTTTACAGCGCTGGATGTCACGCAGCCTCGTCTTGTGTCTCGCATCAATAAATGCACACATGCGAGCAGAAGCTGCATGCTGTCTACAGGGAGATAAGAGTCGTGCTGGAAGGAAACCAAACGTTGACTGTGCTGCTGAGTTTCTCTCAGAGGGAACAGGTGAAAAGTTAAAAGAATAATAAACTCTGGGGCAGAGCTTTTACATAACCGCGCTAAACTCATTTCAAGCTCAGTTGCAGACAGATGCCAACTAATCAGGCGTTTGCTGATTTCCATTAATAACTGCTGTGGCACAAGTGATATTTAACTCTTTCCTTGGAACACTTTTGTGGTTTCTTGTTGTGTTTGCGTGTGTGAGAACTGTGAGGTTAATGCAGCGAAACAGAAACATTTTAGGAATGACCCCTGGAAAAAAAATGCAGCCTGTAGCTTCTAACCCTTTAATTTGTGGAGACTCCAGAGAGTTCACAGGCCCTCCAGGACGTCTGCGGACCTCACCTTATTGCCCTCATGTCAGAACTCATCACATTCTGTCCATCTGCTTCCCCTTAACTTCATTTCCCAAAGAAATGTTTGCTCTTTTCCACAAACAGGCAAAAATATAAAGAAGACTTGACATTTAGACAGCGTCTGAATGCGACATGGGATGTTTAGCAAATGCAAGAGGAGTTTGGAAGTAGCTGACACTCAGATAAAGGCATGATTAAAACATCACATTTTAATTATTGACTGGGAAATCTCTCTTTTTTCCCCTGCTGGGTAGACAGATGAAAACTCATGCTGACAAATCAGCATGAGAGGGGGAAAAAATTAAGCTTTCATGCTAAGGGTTTTTGAATTAATTTTTTTTGTTGTTGCTTGAGTTGTTAATCTGTCTTTTGATTTCTTTAACGCCTCAGTGGGCAGAATGATATGAAAATGAAAGAAAATGAATGTTGGCTGGGTTGCTCACTGATGTGAGTAAAACTGACATTTATAATTCATCATGAAGTTAAAATGTTGTTGACCAGCAGCTTGCAGTAAATAAATCTAGACTTTATTTATTCTGCTTTTAATCTAAAATATTTAGCATTTTTCCAGGTGCAAATTAGAGTGATTAATCTGATGGATTATCTGCTCTAGTGTGTTGCACATCGTCTTCTCCTATGCAAAGTTAGGAACACTAAAAATCTGCAGTAAAAATACAGTTTTACTTAGGCTTGGGCAGTAAGACAGTATTGTGGTATATGTACCTCGATATTGAAATATGGTGGCGGTGTTTGAAAACTAGATTAGTTCTTCAAGAAATGATCAAAGGGTTTGCCATGAGGCGTCTAATTTAAATGAAGATTTGAGTTTACTATTTGATGGAGCTCACTGTCATTGTCATCCATAACAAATTTTGACTTATTAGGGCTAAAAATGGCAGAATTATGGTCAATTCTTTCATTTAGCTCTGGTGGCCATCTTGGATTTTTGAAATGGATTCAGTATTTGATGATCATTCTCAGCTACCACCACACCAAATTTCAGTCCAAAATGTCTTAAAATAGCTGAGTTATTGCAGTAAAAAAAATACCTGTGGTGGCCATCTTGAATTTATAGCGTTCAGAATTAGTCAAAGCTTGTTCTCGGCTACAACTGTAACAGTTTTCAGCTTTATTTGTCTCATAATGGCTGAGTTATATATAAATAGCCTTATCTAAAATTAGCCTTAGCGGTTAGCTTAAAGTTATTGGCATTCAGAATGTGTTGGGTTAGCGCTCAGTTTCCAACCCACCTATTTTTACAATTAGGTTCATATCTATATGGATAGAGACAAGATTTTCCTAATTTTGGTTATGTACATCACCATGAATTTTGAACAAAAATTTCAGAGGCAGCTGAAGTTCAGACTCTCAGCTTTAAATCAGTGGGTTGAACAAAATGATTGCATGGAAATGTGTGGAACTAAAGCATTTTTAAAGGGATCCCTGATTAGTTGTAACATTAGACTTTATTTGATAAACATTTATTTTAACTGTAAAATAAAGACTGTGAAAATACTGTAGGCTGTTTAATTTTGTAAATTTTTAAAAATATATTTTAAGACGGACAGAGCCATTTTATTTACACACAAAGCATTCTGGGTAAATGATGACGTGGAAAGGTCTCCTCTGTGTGAGGC